AATGATATATCTTCCATAAGATATGGGTTAATCACAATGTGCAGTCCTTGCTGGTCACCCCTGTTTTTGGAATGGCCACTTAATACAATAAATTATTAATAGAAACAGTACACAAATACATCACATTTCCAAAGAAATTTCCTTTTTTCATTGGTTCATTTTCATTTTCTTCTTTTTTTTAATGATTATTATTGTGAATTGTTGTTCGTTTATGTGTGCCCTGCGGTTGGCTAGCAACCAGTTCGGGGTGTCCCCTGCCTACTGCCCAAAGATGCCTGGGATAGGCTCCAGCACACATGCGACCCTCGTGAGGATAAAGCGGTTCAGATAATGGATGGAAGGAAAAATACTACTTTTCTCCTCTCTCATGAACACTTTGAGACAGTAATTCATGCCTTTGTCACATCACGGCTCGATTACTGCAATGCCCTTTACTTTGGAGTCAGCCAGTCGTCCATGAAGCGCCTCCAGCTCGTCCAGAATGCCGCTGCTCGCCTCTTGACTGGTACTCGTAAGAGGGAGCACATAACTCCTACTCTGGCATCCCTTCACTGGCTCCCCATACATTTTAGAGTTATTTTCAAGATCCTCTTATTTGTTTTCAAATCTCTAAATGACCTCGCGCCACCTTACCTCTCTGAGCTCATCCGCCCCTACACACCTGCACGGCGCCTCAGGTCTGCGGACCAGACATTATGAGAAGTACAGTCAAACCTCGGTTTTCGAACGTCTCGGTTCTCGACCAATTCGGTTTTCGACCAAAAATTTAGAGTTTTTCATGCCTCAGATGACGAACAAATTTCGGTTCTCGAACAAACTGAGCGCACTTGAATGCACCATTTGACTCCTCTCGCCTTCCTTACACGAGGAAGTGACGCTTCCTCGGGTAGACGAGGAAGTGACGCTTCCTCGTGTCGCTTTCCATTGTGAGCAGGCGTGTTCAGTAAACATTTTTATTTTAAAAAGAGCGTGGTTTCGGTTTTCGAACAATTTCGGTTTTCGAACAGCCTTCTGGAACAGATTATGACGAAAACCGAGGTTTGACTGTACCAAGAACTAAACTGAGGCTCAGAGGGGATCGAGCCTTTTCTGTTGCTGGTCCCTCTCTCTGGACGACCACCGGTGATTCACGAATGCCTATACGTCCAGTTAAAGAAGCCCGCTTCACCTGTTTATCGTTTCTACAGCCTCCACAATTCACGATGGGCTTAGACTTGTGTGTGCCTCTGTGCAAGCATCTTGTTTGTGTCAACACCCACCCAACTGTACCTCTGATTGACTGAATAGAATTTGACTCTACCTCAGCTAATTATCATCACTTAAATAAAAATAACAATTACAAAAAAAAAAGGGGGGTGAGGTCTCGTTGGTGTGATGAACACAGCTTCAATTATCTAATAATTAAAAACAGCAAGCCGTGTTTTTTTGGTCATAATGGTGTTATCATGATTGAAAACAATTATATTCCACATCATTAAATAAAAATTAAGAATAAGAATAAGAAAACCATTATTCGTCTCAGAATGGAGAAATTCCCAATTTACAGCAGCAAAGTTATGAAAGGAAGAAAGAAACACAGTATAAAACGCCATTACTCCCAGTGCTGGTCACCACAAAAAAATCAACTGAGCTGAATGAACACACATCAAAAGTGGACAACCAGCATTGTTCGACAAATACACAATTTCACACATTTGTAATGTTCTGATTTTATTCAAAGATTTATCAGTTATCAAGGCAAAATGTATGCTGCTGACCACGCTACTTAAAATTGCTGCCACTGTGCAGTAATTGCAGAAAAAAAAAAAAAAAAAAAAGTTTTTGTGGCAAGGCTCCAGTCATTTTTCTGTGATTTCAAATGTCTGACAGCTGCTTTAATCGGAGGCCCAAATTTTTTTGAGGAAACTTTACCTGCCTGTCAGTACGCTGTGATTAAAATTGAAGCTTTTGTGAGTTTGCCCCCTTGCTTTTTGGATTTTCTTTCTTTGGGGAAGGAATGAAATATCATTCCAAAGCAGCTCTCCCACGAAGGACACTGACCAGATGTGTTATCAGCGAGACTCAATATGAAACACCTTTGACTATTGAGAAACTCCAACATCAAAAGAGAGGGGAAGAAATTACTTTAAAAACAACTCAAAGAGAACAGCTTTTGCTAATTCAGAGTGCCTCTTTATGTATTGTTCAGTGTGCGTCAGTCTACGCCACGTGTGTCAAACTCCTTGGCCAGATGTAATTGTATACCCTGACGGAAGTGGCCGAGGAAACATTTGATATATTGTGTGGAAGTGACCCACACCACAAGCGTAAACAAGCCCATACACATTGGGTGACTTCACTCAGTGTTACTTACTTTGAATTTCACGCTACCATGCATGTGGTTCTCTTTTGTCACAAGAGACCAGAATGTCAATAATTGCACTCACGTTGAAGCTCAGGGTGCTACATTCACCACCACCACCAAAAGTGGCAATCACTTTAACCGCACACGACGCCACTTTAACAATTACACCATGTCAGTATAAAATAACCCAAAAAAGAAGCATGCTGGGAAATGCTTTCTCCTCAGATTCCCTAAGGCCGCAATATCTTTGCGGCATGTTCTTAGTTTAAATTTGTACAAGTTTGCAGAATACATTGTGCCAATTTTTTGGGGGAACGTGTTGCAGCTATTAAAATGTAAGTTAATGATTATTTGCAAAAAACAATCAAGTTTAGCAGTTTGAACATTAAATATCACGTCTTTGTAGTGTATTCAATCAAATATCGGTTGAACATCTGCAAATCATTGTAATCTGTTTTTATTTATTTTAAACACTATGTCCCAACTTCTTCGGAATGGGGTTTGTCTTTTTGTGCTCTTTGTGTAGCCACTAAAATGCTGCCCCAACGCTCTGCTCCTTCTTAAGTGTCAGCATTTAGTCAGCCTTGAAACTACAAATGTACGCATAAGCGGTGCACACTGAAAATATACAAATCACACCAGATTTGGGTGTGTTATTACGCATTTGCCTAGCAAGCATTTTGAATATTCTTCTTAGATTCTTGGGGGGGTGCAACGGTGGACTGGTGTTAATTTTGTTCACGAAAACTAGAAAATATTTCTGTCAATGCACATTTTTCACCAGTCAAAAAGTAGACTGGATGAGACTAAAACCTTCTATTAACAAACAATAATTTGGACTAAATCAATATGCATTTTTGTAGGCTAATGAAGAGACAAACGTGGTTAATTCAAGACTGGGCTAGAATCTATGAACCTTTTAGTTCACGAGCAAAGACGAGATGAACATAATATGATTTCTTGGCGTCAATTACCGCTCTCTAAACCAAATTCTCACATGATTCACAGCAAAAATGAGGCTCCGGTAGATGGGGCTGAGTAGTGTTGTCTTGTTTGCAAATGACAAAAAAATATTGTATGCGGATGCACTGAATGGAATTCGCAGCAAATAGATCGATCATGCTTGTTGCATGAACTGATGAAGCCTACTCACTTCCTGAGACAAACAGCAGTCCAGCTGCGATCGAGTCAATGCCCTGAGAATTAAATGACTGATGAAGAAGACTATCCCCGAGCATACCGAATGGAATCACTTTGTGAACTGTTTCATTCCTTTCTCAGTTCGGTTGAGCTCAGCTGCAAGCGTGTGCCGCAGGAGGAACTCAGATAAGGCAGCGAGCTTTGGTGGGCATTTATATCTGTTTGCTGTGTAACGGCTATAACAATCTGGTAAAATGTGAAATTTGTGTGAAAAACGAGCACCAAGCAACAACCTCTCCTGCTACTTTGAAAACCAGACCAACATCACTATTTCCATCGTTTTTTTAGGGGGCATCCATTACCCCCGAACGTTGGCGATATACAGTATACTTGATCCCGCAAAACAGCAAAGGTTCACTGAAAAAAACTAACTGAAAACTGCAAAAAAGCTACTCACCTTCAAACATTCAGAAGCAGTTTCAAACATTGATTTAACACTTCAACATTTAAACTACAAACATCACCAATACTCAACACTTCTGTGTCTCCTAAGCCTTTAATGCAAGCTCCCCCACCACCTTTTTTTCAAACCTGCAACCAAATGTCCAGATGTTAAAATGTTTCTCCGTGTAACTATTCAAACCCTGTTCCAAGAGAAGGCAGAGAAAGAGAGAGAGAAGAGGAATATTTGACTTCACTCCACGGGAGACCAGTTTCATACATTTTGGCAGCCACACAACAGTAAAAAGGTAGCTTTGCTGGTTTGGCAGCCAAACACTGACGGCTTACCAAACAGCGCAATCCTAATGAGTTGGAAAACCCCGAACTCCCCAGAGGACTATCCAGATGTGACCAACATGAAAAGCGCTACTGTTTTAATTTGTCTCGAACAAAAAGGCAAAATGCTGAAACTGAACATTAATATAGCAGACAATTTGAAGCGTAAAGAACTTGAAGTTCATTTAACCTATTCTCGACAAGCACTTCCAACACTTAGCCCCCTCCCAGGTAGAGGACAAGCCGATACGCATTTATGTGACTGAAATAGTGACTGTTTTCATTTAACCATTTTATACAATGACGATGTAAAGGGAAAATTTTTAATGCTTCCGTGGTCATGATTCATGATGGAACTCCAAAATATCACCCAACTCTGTTGTTTACTTTGGCTTTACTTTAGGCTCTATGGGCAATTTAATTTCATTGCTGAGCTGTCTGCCCTACATGTTTACTACTGTAGTTTCCTGGTCTCAAAATGCTCTTTCCTGACGCAATAGAATGTTTTTTTTTAGGTTAAGTTTTTAAGAAAGAGAATACAGTGTGTAGCAGGTGAATGTCACATTGGCTTCAGCTTGAGCCCACGCCATACCCCTTTCACAGGTTTTGTGGATATCAGTGAAGTAGTTTGTGATAGCATGCAGAGGTACGGTACAAACCTTGCATTTTGGGGCAGATTAAACCAGTAATGAAATGGGGGCATCATTGAGCAGAGTCAGTTGAGAAGGATCTAACACACCTGGAGCTTTGTAAACCTCGTTGATGAGGCTTTCGCTGAGCGTCGAGGGTGCCCCATTCAACATGCCATGTGTCCAGCTCTGCCAGATTGCTTGGAGCAAATGCGTCTGGGCTCTTGTAGCCTGCACAGTGAAGTGAGGAAGCTCCAAAATACATTCTGTGGTGGGGACCGAAGACCTTTTACTCCTGCGAGATCATGAAAAGCAACAGACAAAGATGATTAGGTGAAGGATAGTCCAACTGAAGGCAAGGTACTTACACACAATAATCCCGGTCAGATGCAAACTGAATTTAAAAAAAGCACTGGTGGGAGGTTCTGCTTGACTTTAAATCACGTTCTGATTTAAAAGATAATATTGCCTTATTAGCACAAGAGACTACACAGGGAGATATGGATTCCAACATCAAATGTAGGTGCCAGCCAAGCTTCTTTGGCTATTTGGCAGCTTTGTCACTGAACCCCCTCTCAGCTCAGTCCAAACTGAAATGATGATAAATGCAAAAGGATGTCCAGCCTAGAAACCTAACGGAAAAGAATCTCGGCAAAGTTAAGATTCCATCTGTCAAATGAGAGGAAGGTTACATGTCTATGTCGATGCATGCGTGTGAAAGACAAACTCGAGGATTTATGGAGGATGAGGTAACAGCGGTTGGATTAATGTCCTTCAGTTTTATGTCCACCAGACCCTCACTGGACCATGAACATTTTCATCTTCTGATACAGATATGAAAACACACACACAACACACTTCCACATTAGACTGCCCACTTAATGCCTAGCTTGTATTGCGCATCCACAAGTATCTTGAAACACATGCCTTTCAAATTCACCAGTTAGCTATTAAAACTACTTGCAAGGTGAGAACTGATTTCAATTTTGGGTGAGACAACACCACCAGCACATGCACTAAGTCCTAAACAGAGCTCATTATGTGGTTCATTTCTGTATGCGTTCAAGGTCGATAGAGGCAATAAATACCATTTGTGTCCTGAAGACTTTTGATTACATGACTACAAAGATAAAAATAGAACAGACGTACTTTCCAAAGATGGCTAGGAGGTGAAATAACATCACAGTTAATTTAATCACACATTCCCATTTAAAGTGTGCGGTATGTCACGGGGTTTCTCCCCTACTAAGCAGCTCTGCAATCGTTTAACTTCTCTACTTCTCTCTTGCTCTCCTTTCAGTGTCTCCACAGCTTTCCCTTTATTCTGCTCCTGGGTGGTTCAGCAGGGTGACACGACCTGTTAGCTATACACAGACGGGTGCGGAGAACTAAACCGCATGCTGCCTTTGGGGGGCAACTAAAAGACGTAGAGGCAGCTTGATAGAAAGAACATAAAAGCGAAGAGAAAATGTGACAGGGTCAACAGGTTTCACTTGATAGCATGCATATTTTTAATCCACAGCCCCATGTGGTGCATTTGACGTCCATGCTTCTAAACTATTAAAATCACTACTGTTACATTCTATACAGCTTGACATCAAACGGAGTTTCATGTGTTTGTGCATGCCAGTGTGCATGTGTACACAGGGTTACATTTTGCTGATGTGCAAAAGAAAGTGAAGGGAACCATGCAACAATAATGTGCCCCACATGCAGAGCAAATGTGTCTGCAAAGCCACTTCAATAGGCAGATTGGCAAAGGATAAAGGTTTGTTGGCTCATTCAAGTGCGATTCCAAGGGAGTTGTCATGCGCACGCGGTCCTCTAAATCCTTAATTATGCACCTGCTTTTATTATATTATTACCAACTCATCGTAAAAAGCAATGTGGATGGACTTAAATCAGATGCAGAAAGTCTCATTAGGGTCAAGATGTTGGATGTGAGGACAGCAAGACACTTCAGATTGCAGCTCGCAATTCAACGTGGTGAACAGCATTCTGTCAGCAACCAAAACGGCCTGAAAAGAATTAATGCTTCCAAAGAGAAGCACTTAGAGCCCTAACAAAAGTCACGTTTACCCCGCAAAAGAAATAACCACATGTATGTGGTAGGGATGTTTGATACTGATACCAGTATGAGTACTCAACTCGAGTAGTCATCCATACTGATACCACGAGCAATGTTTGAAACATAAAATTTCCCAAAAAACAATGACAGATCAATTTTAAGAAAGATCTAAAGGGATTTCCTCTATTTCTGAACAGACTTGCTAGGCTCCAGTGGAACGGAAAAGTCGCAGTGGCCAAGACAGTTAGTGCAGTGAAAATGTGTACCTGGGAGAAAAAGGCAAGGCATACAGATAATCGGGAAAAAACGTGTCCGTGAGGCCTCGTGCGTCACGTAGGCTAACTAGCAAGTAGTGTTGATGTTTGAGCTTGCTCGATCCGTGACGTGGGTTGCATCGGCGCTGATTGGTTGAAACCAAAACACCGCACACGTGCATACGTGTTCGCACTTCCGCGCACAGAGCAGAGACCAGCGGATTATCGATTGCTGAGGCGCGCTTACTCGAGTGGCGTTGACAAAACAGTTGTTTACGGGCGTGACATGCGATCACTGAGTGGCAAGTTGCTACAGACCTATATCTGCTAATAGCATTTTTTCTTGAAACTGCATGAGTTGAATGGCAATTTTCTATATTTTGTCCATTTGCTCATAAAATATATTTCTATAGAAGACACAATTAAATTAATTTGAATTTTAAAAATAAATGAAACAAGTGGAAGGGAAAAAGTCGCAATGAAAATATGTGGTTGTACGATTTCTTTTCAAGGAATATGATGAGGTGCAAATAATTAAGTGGAATACAACAGCCCTTCGAGTGACATGTTTTGAAAACACAAATTAGTCATGGTTTGATTCAATTGTGGGCGGGACGTCCTCCTCACAGTGCAGAGGTGCAGGGTTCGATAGCGGTTCCGGCCTTCTTGTGTGGAGTTTGCATGTTCTCCCCGTGCCTGTGTGGGTTTTCTCCGGTAACTCCGGTTTCCTCCCGCATTCCAAAAACATGCATGGCAGGTTAATGGAACGCTCTAAATTGCCCCGAGATGTGACTGTGAGCGCGAAAGGTTGTTTGTGTACATGTGCCCTGCGATTGGCTGGTGTACCCCACCTCCTGCCCGAAGACAGCTGGGATAGGCTCCAGCACACCTGCGACCCTTGTGAGGATAATCAGATTAGAAAATGGATAGATGGATGGATGGATGGATGGATGGATAGTTCAATTGTCATGTCTGAGTCTGAAAACTGGATGGCACCCATATAATGACATGCATACCTTAGAAGAAGAAGAGGAAATCTGACATCATGTCATATAGCACTCTGCTGAGCCGGAAATAACGTCAAAAAATAAATAAATAAAAAATAAAAAAATTAAAAATATGAGTCTAACTGAGAATTACAACACGGAGCTAATCCAAATGTCCGGTAGAAGCCCAGACAGTAACCAGCACCCAATTTAAAACTACTTGCAGCAATTGAAGGCTTTCACCTGCGTTGATCAGAAGCTTCGTACTAATGCTAATGGGAGCCACTATCACATCAATGATCTTATTGGCAAGCTTTGAACTTATTACAGGAACACACGCCCCTCAACTGCTTTTATAGGAAGCAACAGTAGCAGCCCAGCTCAACAATGCTGGCGGCATGAGGCTTATTTTCTTGTCAATGCCAAAGTGTGTGCTATAAATATAGAAAATGCATTTCTGAATATTTGTTGGGGGTTTTTATGGTAATGTTGGTGGAGACATTCGGTTCCCAGAATTCATTGTGTTGTGCAATACATTTAATTAATGAAGATGACCTTGAAACGATTTAGTTCCTGATTATAAAACAGCCATTTGAGACATCGCGACAGCGACCAATACCAGCATTAGCCGCCATCGCAAGTTCCAACACCCTGAAATAAGGCCGGGCATCGGCCCGATACCAATACCCGGTATCAGTACTCACCCACCCCCAGTATTCGGCATCTAACATTTTGCTATATGGAACGCTGAAGCTGCCTTTCCCCAATGAGAAGTGGAGCTCATTAAGGCATACTTCGACAATGATGTAGACACCCACGAGAAGTGACCCTGCAACCTATTTGGAACCTTCGCTCCTATATTAAGAAACTCGCTCCCTGCGTTGAACATCACAATCTTGTTCAAATGACAGTGTCTGACCCCGCGCAATTTATTTAAATCAATTCTCTCTTGAGAACACGTAGGCAATTAAAAATATATTGAAAGGGGAAATTAAAATTAGTCAGGAGTTATTCGGGGCATGTTAACTCCAGCTAGCGCCAGATGTATTTCAACAGCATTAAGCGCCTTCTGCAGAACTGTCCTCTGTTGGTGCTGTAACAAAATCATACTGCATATCGAGGCAAAGCCAATTGGAGGACTCCCAAACTGCTGGACTCGGTCACTAAGTGACTGGCACATCTGTCTTCCTCTCTACTGCCCCAGTCCAAATCAAGCAAAACAGGGCAAGGTGTTGTGTAGAAGCTATGAGTCATGAGTTTTGGCAACGAAAACAACAGAGGTGCTATTGCCTCGTTTGTTTCTTCTGTTGACTAGCTAAAAGGTGAAATTGAAATGGAAAACAAGTTGCTTTTAGTCATTAAAATGAATAAGTAAAATCTAAAAGGTGTGACAATAAACAGTAATGCTACACAAAAGAACCTATTTCTCTCATATTGCGTTTGAATATATCCAACCCTAGCTGAGAGCTGATTTGAGTTACATTCCGCTATCTCCATCATCTATTACTGAAGATGCGTATCCTTAAATACACCAATTTCAATTTGGAAAATAAAATTTCCATACAGGTCGAATAGGTTGATACTTCTGCCAGAAAAATTCACACATCAATGCGCATGGTGGGAAAAAAAAAATCCACTTGGGTGGATAGAAATGAAAATGTTAAAACATACTTTCATGGCATTATTGTTGCACATGCATGCGCGTGTGATGTGTGTCATCAAATTTCAAAAATACCAAGAGCAATACCAATGCTCTGACAGAGGTGCTAGTAACAACAGAAAATAAAACTCCTCAACTGCAAAGACAAATAAGACCGACATCTTGCCATGATTGGAAATATATTGCCAAGAGCAGATGGTCCAAATGGTTTATACAGTGTCCCAGAATACAAGCTTGGAACCGGCAGACATTTTTCCACAGTGTTCATTTTTGTTATTACTCACATCCTGCAGAGGACCAAAAATCATTTCCCCTCACTCTTTTCAA